AAGTGATGCTCAGTGCAAAGGCAGCCTATGATCTTGCAGGGACCTGCTAGCCATCTAGAGAGCAGTCTTTTTCATAAGAAATACTGTTGGAGAAGCATGTCTTCATTTTTTTTAAGATGCCACAGTGCAATGAGTCTTTTACCCTGTTATTCAGCTGTTACTTTGTGACACTGCTATTACATTGCTTCAGTTGCAGGAGGCAGGAAGGAGCAAGGAGGGAAACTGAATTTCACCTGGGAATGACTATACAGGACAAACATGGGCAGAAAGCAATGCATTTTTCAAATGGCTCATGGCATACGACGTCCTGCCCTCTTCTGATCAGAGTGGTATTTTACATGATGGTTATTTACATTTTCTGTCTTAAGGACTTCTTTTCCACATTCACCATCCTGGCTTACATAAGAAATAGTAAATATATCAAAGTACAGAAGAATGATTAAACAGGGAACCCACCATGAATGATCAGTGAAAGCTTGTAGCTTTTGCTGCATATTTAAATGGAGTTACTATCTTAAGAAATTCTCATCAGATTCAGTTACATTATTCTCTGACAATGGGGGATTACTGAATGCTTTTAACATAGTTAAAGCCATAGATTTTTTTTAATAAGAAATGAACATGTTGAAGTAGAAGCCCATTTCCCCAAAGGCAGCTAGGATGTGGGGGAAAGGGAATACTGCTTCACTTAATGAAACACTTTTTGGAAAAATGAGGAATGCTTGAGGAGAGGTAATACTCAAAAGGAACACTCTGCAGAATAAACAAGAACAAGATTTGTGCAAAGCAGTGTTTGTCTACAGACAGCTTGCTGACAAGGAACAAGTGAGCTGAGCCACATCTCCAGCTTTCTTAGCAGATCCCAATGGAACTTCGGCAACATCAGGATTAATAGCCAGACAACTAGGTTGAACTGTGCCTTGCGTCCTGCATTGCTTCTGAGGGTGGTAAACAAAAGTGGTGAGACTACTTAGATGTTAAAGAAGATTTATGTGACAGAAAGGACATCTCTTTCGGGGGTTAAAGTTATACTTTCTGACAGTAACTGATGGTGACATTCTTGGTACTGTGTATGAATTTTTAAAAGTGTACTTGTGAGATTGCCCAGTAACTTAAGCTTCACTGATACACCTATCTCCATTTTTCTTTATATCTCTGGCCTCTGTTGCATATGTTAATAATGCTTGCAGTTCTTGGAATTTGACATAGAACTTGCTGGGGCATTACCGTTAAGGCCTTTGTGCCAGAAAATCATTTCATTTTGGAGATGACACATACCTAGGTGAAAGCTGCTATTCTCATTTTTGGATCTGATTATTAGAAGGTGGGGCACACCCTTGCATCTCTGCATCTCCTCAAAAAGGTCAAAGAAACAATAGTAAAATTGCAGATAGCAAACTTCCTGAATTCATCTTTTTAATAGCATCAAACTTGAGCAGGTCTCTGAAAGCAATCGGCTAGTTCTTTGCATTTTAATTGTTTTATTACAAGTGTTCCTCCTTGTGCTGTATTCTCCTTGTCCTGGGGGGAGGGGGAGCAGAGATTCTATTGGTTTTTAAATGCATGGGAAAGAAATATGCATATTTGGAGGTGGATTCCTGGCTTGTGCTTTGAAACCAAGTTTCCAGGAATATGAAAAGAAGGCTGTGCACTCTACCATCCAGTGAAGTTTAAGCTACTTGGCCTGACTGCCTCTTGAAATGGAATTTGTCTTTTGTACAAGTGCTTCTAGTATTGCCTCCTGTTTGTTAATCCTGGATTTGTATATTTGTAAATGTGCCGTAATGTTTCCAATGGTGGAACTGCAGTGTACCTAGTGTTGAAGCAGCTGCTTGCACCTTGCTCAAATGAGATTTTTCTCATTTTTATGTATAATTTTTGTCAACTAAAAAAAATTCCTGTGACTCCAGTTTCCTTGTTTCTGACCACTTTCTTTGTCTTAACTTAAATGTTTTTCATTGTATTTTCCAATGTAGTGACTCAGTGTCACCCCAAAATTCAACTGGGCTGAAGAATCCTGAATTCTGTATTTCCTAATGCTCAACTTTTATTAATTTTTTCCTTGAACTGCCTTGTTGAAGATAGTACTCCTGTGGAGGGTGGGAAACTTTTTTCAAGAAACTTCAGTTTGTTGGTAAAAAGATTTGCCTTTTCAAGTTATCATAATACAGTTGGTAAAATGAAACATTTTTTGAAAAGATGCACTTGAGTAATGTGGAATTAGAATTCTAAACTATACACAAACCCAAGATTATTTCCTTTCTAATATAGATGTATGTGCTTAGTGAAGCTGCTGGAGCCCTTTGATAACCATTATTTTGCAATGAACTCAGAAGATAACTAGATTTATGCAAATTCTCAGGCTTTCAGAAAAGAGGAAAGTTAGAGGTCACAATAACTGTCTTGTGCTGTATCCTTAGAGACAGCTGTAACAACTTTCCTGTTACTTGGACTTGAGGTATTAAATGTACTTATTTATTTATTTGATTTGTCAATCACTTGCAAGATAATAGGTATAAGTATAAACATAATTATGAATACATGAAATGGATACATATAAGAAAAATAAAAAGAAACAATAGAACAGGTATGGTAGGCACGTTGATGTGCTTATGCACGCCCCCTACACACCTCTTAGGAAAGGGGTGGGGTCAATAGTAGACAGTCTAAGGTTAAAGTTTTTGGGATTTGGGGAAGAAACCACAGAGTCAGGTAGAGTATTCCAGACATTGACCACTCTGTTGCTGAAGTCGTATTTCCTGCAATCAAGTTTGGTGAGGTTTACCTTGAGTTTGTATCTATTGTTTGCTCTTGTATTGTTATGGTTGAAACAAGTATTCATTGACAGGTAGGACATTGCAATATATAATTTTATGTACTTAGATTGGACCGAAGGCGGCGTAGCTCTAGATTTTCTAGGTCTAGAATTTCAGGTCTGGTGGCATAAGGTATTCTACAACGAGAAGGAGTGGAGAACTCTTGTGAAATATTTCTGGACTTTCTCAACTGTGTTAATATCAGACACGTAATGTGGGTTCCAGACTGAAGTATTCAAGTATTGGTCTAGCAAAGGTTTTGTATGCTCTAGTTAGTAGTTATACTACCAGAGAAAAAGCTACGTAGGATTAGGTTAACAACCCTTAATGCTTTTTTGGCTATGTAGTTACAGTGGGCTCTAGCACTTAGATCATTAGCATTTAGATCATTGGCTGATGCAATATACATCAGAACTTTAGCCACTAGCCAATTTTCTGGTAAGATGCATTTCATCTATATTATAGATTTGTTACTACACAAAGTCAACTACAGGAATTTACTATTTTATCTTTCTAGACAAGGTTGTCCTGGAGCGCCTTTAAACTAGATGGTAGTCATGCTTGTATAATGTTTAGTTACCAAAAACATATTTCAGTTGTATTTAAACAAAAGTAAAATGATTGTATATTTTATGCATGCATTTGCACAATATAATTTTATACTACATACTTGAACATGCACATAACCATCCATATATTTGTTCGTACATATATTTTGAAAACTTTACAATGCAATCCTCTCCTGCTAAATTCCTCAATTGTCTTAGTCCTCGTCGAGATGTTAAACAGCAGCCCGTTTTGCTAATAGCAAATGTAAAAGAATGTTTTCAAAACACTGTCATAAGCCAGATAATAAACAGCCAGATTTCGGGAAGAGTATGGTTGAGGCTGCCAAAATTCAGCTGCTACCCGTGGAACCATTGTTTAAAAGCTACTACTTAGGTAGACGTTCTTGTGCGCACGCTCCGTACTTAGAACCCAGAAAATCGGGGACTTGTGGAAGCAGATCCTAAACGGTCGCCTTGCGTCATCAAATGGCGCCGGAAGCGGTTGCTCCTTGGAGACGAGACGCGCGAAGGCGGGCGCGACCTGTCAAGACGAAGCTGTCTTAAATCGGCTGTGCCGGTTCTTCCCTTCCGACGAAAGTGGCTGAGGCAGGTTGCCGTGAGGATTAGGATCCTGGCTCACTGCTGGGGCCGGGAAACAGGACTCGGCGTTGGGATTAATCTGTGGAGCTCCGCACCTGCAGAACGGAGCTCTTCTAACGGCGCTAAAGGCGGGCGTGACTGCTCTTCGTTTGCCCTGCTATCTGCCTGAACAGGGGAGTTGTCTTCGGCAACAAGAGCTGGGTTTTTCACTTGCTGCACTTCCCGGAGAGGTCCATGATAAGCGTGCGTGGAGGAAGGAAGCGAAAGGCGGAGGGCGGCAGAAGAGCAGCCCTTTTTCGAATCGGCTCTGGGCTGTGCGCGCGGGGAAGAGCAAGATAAGGAGGTTCGGTTCTAAAAAAAAAACTGTTTGCTAAAATTGTGATAATAAGTGTGAGAGAAGTAGTTGCTTTTGCGAGAGCTGGACTCTGGCTCTCTATGGTGTCAAAGGAGATACGCTGTCTTTGCGGAATCTGTTCCAGGGTTTATTTCATTAGGAAAAATGACAGCCATTTCAGAACAGACATTTTTCTCCTCCTGAACTATGCTTTGCCCATAGGATGTGCATGAGCCGAACATTCCTGATGTAGCTGGGAACCATAGCGTTGTATGATTGGATCATGCAGCAGTTTTATTTGTGTGGAGTCCGCTCTCTCGTTTTCAGATGAAAGTTTGGAAGTCAGAATGCCAGCAACTTTTGTAATCTTATTCTTTTCTCTTCCTATGAACATTATTGTTTGAAAAAAGATAAGACCAAATAAGATTATTTCTTCATTTATCATTCAGAAGTCATCTTCTTGTTAATTATCTAGGAATTTTTTTGAATGTCCAATAGATAATTTCTTTTTACATCTTGTACCTTGAGCATTATTTTAAAATTGTCAGGCTTAAGTGGTCCTATAATTTATGCTCTCAAAAATTCCTTTTTGCCTCATAAAACTTGCATTATTAGTTGAAATATCTATTTCTAATAAAATAAGGTATAACTTTGGTTTTTATCATTCCTTATCTGAATTGTTTGCTTCTTGCCTTCCTGCAGCAATGGAAACTGTCCCAGGTTCTTCTGTTGAACAGCAAGGCTCTGACATTGACTCTGACACAGAGAGCAAAATAGATCCAGATACCCAAGCCCTGGAGTATGTGGAGCGTGTTCTTGGAACTTCAAATCAGTCCAGGCAAGCAACCCAGTGTCTGCCTCCAGAGTCTCTCTCAGTAGGTGGTGGTAGAGTCCGAACATCAGACCTCAAATCACCTCTAGAACTGAAAAAATCTATTGTTGAAGAAACTGCTTCAGGGCTGTTATCTCTTCCTCTAGAGTTGATTTTAGAAATCTGTTCCTACCTGCAAGCCAGGTTTGTTTTGCATGTCCTTCCTTTAGTCTGCAAGACACTGAGGGACATTGTTCAAGATGAAGTCACTTGGAGAATTCGACTTTTAAAAAGAATTGGCAATTGCTATCCAGTTGTAGAAGGTAGGTGGGTTTTCTTTCTAGCTGTTGGTGACCTGTATTTTAGCTTTTTCACAAGCAGATTCTCGCATCATTAACTTTTGATTTTAAGGGAAGGTGGAACTGGTGTTTTAAATGTCGAGGATGTTAGGAGGAAGAAAGATGCTAAAAGGAGTTTTCCTTTTTGTCTAAAAAGTGAGAGGGTTATCACTAAGAATGAGTAGAAATTTCACTCTTGAGCTACTTTTCAAATGCTGCAATTTGTAAATATTGCTGTAAGAATTCTGAGTAGAACAATAAATATTTCCTATCCTGCTTCTCTTTCATTTTTGGAATGTTGCAGGTAAGCTCAGTAATATTGTCTCTCAACTGATAGTACCAAGTCCTTTTCGATTTAAAGATAACATCTTTAACGTGTTAGTTCCCATTACAATATTAGAATTTGTCATAAGTTATTTTTACAGTGTTGCAATTCAGGCTACATTATGTAAAACTTCTGTGTTTTAGTATCTATCCTTTTTTTGTGTTTAAATTCTGTAAACATGTTAACACTTATATGCAAAACCATTATGTAAACATAAATAAGACACATAAACTTCTCTATATTTCTTATTTTTTTTTACAAAAACAAAAGAAAGCTATATGTTTTTTTTATTTTTTGGCAGGTAGTGATTTTAATTGGCCAACAGCTTGCATTGAACTAGAAGAACACCTCCAACAATGGGCAGATAGTGGCAAAAACACAGAGTATTTTTCCCTTACTGAAGGGCACTTTGCTTCTGTTGATTCTGTATTGCTCCTTCAGGTAAAAAATCTGTCTCTCTTTGCTGTTTTTAATGATGCAGATAAAGGACATTCTTCAACATCCAAAGTTTAGTTAAAAGGAGCATGTTGAAAAATGTTCTGCATTTTCATTTTTGAGAAATAACTAACAAAATTAATCTGGCCAAATAGTTTCCTCGATGTTATGCTCTATTATAAGCATAACTATCTCATAGTAGGAGCTAGTTGTGTATTTGTTAGCATTTTATATGAAATGATTCTTTAGACCTAAATGCTGAGTAGAGGATTAACTGTGGCCACTTCCTTTTAAAAATATCAACCCCCATTTGTCTATCATTTAATCTAAAAAGTACTCATTGATTGCTTTCCATTATCCTTATTCTTGATTAATTACTGCTAAAATACTGTCTTTATAATGGGCTTTCAGTTTTATGCTTGTTTATTTATTTCCATTTATATAGCCGCCTATCTTACTTGTAGGACTACTTGTGGCTTACATGTAAAAACAACAGAAAAATTAACTTGTATAAATTAAAACAATAGATTACAAAAATAAAAATGCAGGAGAATATCAACCAACGCCCATAAGCAATGCAACCATCTTGCAGGCTCCCCACATCCACCGGGGACTTGAAGGATTTTCTAAAGGCCAAGATTGGACACAACCTGACCTAAGGGGACATAATTTTCCAGACAGTGGATGATGCAGCATTAAATCCTCTCCTCCTCTTGGATCCTGTTAGATAGAACTGCTTCATGCATGGGACCCACAATACATCATTTCTGCTGGATCTGATGGAATGGGTAAAGGCAATCGGGAAGACAGTCCTTCACAACAACCAAGCCTCATGCCTTATAGGGATTTGTAGATCACCTTGAATTGAACCTAGAAACAAATTAGCAACCAGCACAGCTCAGAGAACAGAGGTATAATGCACATCAATCTTGGATGCACATATTTTATTTATTTTTCAAATTTAGAAATCACCCATTTCCTTCACAGAGGGACTCTGGGTAGCATACATATCAAATATTGCCATATTTGCATTAGCTGTAGCTTCTGAATGCTCTTTAAGGGCAGGCCTATGTAGAGCATGTTACAGGAATCCACCAGAAAAGTGACCAGGGTATGAGTGATAGAGACTATACATAAGGGGGTGTGGGGTGGGGGTGTTGTACTGAAAAAAAGTTGTACTGCTCACTGTCTTTGTGATACTATTCTGAAATATGAGGAACACTAACTTGCATAATTTGATTAGCATTTATTTTTGTTATCCAGGGTGGGGAGTTGTGCATTTCTGGCTCTCGAGACCGAAATGTCAACTTGTGGGATCTAAAGCAGCTGGGCAAAGCACCAGAAAAAGTTCTAGTGAAAGCACTGGGGACGGAGCGCAATGGAACACACAAGGTAACTGGAGATTCTGAAGCAGATCAATATATTAAACATAAATATTAAGCATTATTACAGAAAGTCTGTATTATCAACTCCCATCTGATAGCCCCATTCCATTGATAGCCCCTTTCCATTGTTTAAACTGGAAAATAAAGTGCAATGAGTTTCTGTGTGTATGAGGTGTAGTCCTTGAGTTAATATTGTAATTGAGCCTTCAATTGTAGTCATAAGTAATGATAGTCATATAGCAGGTCACCATATGACCAGAACCAGTTTTATGACCTGTTTTGCAGCAGTCATTAAGCAAATGCAGTCATCATAAAGGAACACTGTGGTCATTATGCAAACCCATTGTTTGCTATGGGGCAGTTTTGTCAGAAACCAGAAGTAAACGCTCTTTTCCTGCAAAATTGTAATTCATGACTATATGCCTAAAGGGTGTTGCAAATGACTGTAAATGTGGGCCGGTTGTTGAGCGCTCAAAATATGGTCACATTGGGGGAGCAGACATCAGAATTTCAGAACCAGGTTGTAACTATGTTCTGGGGGACCCATCATAAATGCAAACAATTGTTAATTGACTGGTCATAAATCAAGGACTACCTATAAGTGTATGACATTTCTCATGATTTGGGAATGTTCTAATTAATAGCAGTACATCACTGTTTCTCTCTTTTGAATATTAAACATTTCCCTTTTACAATCTTCTCTGGTAGCTTCTTTGTTGTTTACTGTAAAAAATAAAATAAAATGGCCAATGCTTTTTTATGGCTTGTTACAAAGAAAAGTAGGTATATATGTGATATATTTGCTGTCTGGCAGACATATGGCCTCTTGCTTCCAGAAAACAGATAGCATTTAGAAGACCTTTCAGTCTTTTCTAATCTTGAGCAGAGAGTGACCATTCCCAGTGAAAAGGAATGGAATGCTTCATCACTTTACTCTGGTGATGCCTCAGTGCAATATCTTCTGCAGTAGATATAGAAAGTCCATGCACCCCTGTTAAAATGCCAGGCTTTTGAGATGTAAAAAAAAATCAGACCAAGATAAATCACTTCAGAATCCTTTCCACCTTTAACTTATAAGCTGTACAATTCAATTGAAAAACAAATTGAAATCTTTTAGGGGGGGAAATAATAAAAAACTTACAATAATGTATTTGCATAAAGATGCACACCCTTAAACTAATACTTTGTTGAAGCACCTTCTGACAACATTCAATCTTTTATTTGACCTTCTGGTGAAGCCATTATTTTGTTGATCTGGACTGGAGCTATGCTTTGGGTCATTGTCATGTTAAAAGGAGAAATTCCTCTTTATCTTCAGGATTTTAGCAGAGATTTTGTGCCAAAATTGACTCATATTTGGAACATTTCATAATTTTCCCCACCTTGAATAAAGCCCAAGTTCCATTTATAGAAAAGCAGCCCAAAAACATAATGCTTCACTGTGGACATGGTGTAACTTTTGATGGTGCACAGTGTTGTTTCTGTGCAAAACATACTTCTAGAAATCATGGCTAAAATGTTCATCATTGGTCGCATCAGACCATAATACATTTTCCCACATGCTTTTGTCAGTCTTGATGTAGGTTTTTGCAAAAGGCTTTGATGTTTTTCTTCCTAAGAAAAGACTTCCATCCTGCCACCCTACCTCGTACCCCAGACATAAGAATATGGGAGATTGTTGCCACATGTAGTATAAAACCAGAACTTGTCAAATATTTCTGCGGCCCTTTTAATGTTGCTATAGGCCTCTTGGCAGTTTCTTGGATCAGTTTTCTTCTCGTTTTTTCATTAATTTTGGGAAGCACAACCAGTTCTTGGTAATGTCACATTGTGCCATATTTTCTCCACTTGTTGATGACTGTCTTCACTGTGCTCCACGGTATATGCACTGGAAATTTTTTAGTGTCCATCTTCTGACTAATAACTCCAACAGGTACCTTTGATGCTTTGTAAACTCTTTGTAAACCATGATTTTTGCTGTAAGAGGCAATAGAGTAAATATCAGAAAAATCCTATTAGAACAGCTGAACTTTATATAGGCCTGATCAGGATCACTTTAATTAATGGCAGGTGTGTATTGAATACTATTTAATATAAGTTTGAATGTGATTGGTTAATTTTGAACACAACTACATTCCTACTTATAAGAGGGTGTGAACATTTGTGAAGCCACTTTTCTCTAGTCTTTTTTTGTAATTCTCCCCCTCCCCCAAAAAAGTTTTCAGTTTTTCAATTGAATTGTACAGCTTAAGAATACTGAAGCAATTTATCTTGGTTTCATTTTTTTTTACACTTGAAAAACCTAGCATTTTAACAAGGCTGTAGACTTTCTATATCCACTGTAGATCAAAAAATTGTGATACCAAATTGAAACTGAGTTTCTATTCTAAAATGATATAGATTTTATTAGAAATATACAATGATGCATATTTATTAAGCTGTTGTAACTTATTTCATATATAACAGAAGATTGGTTGTCTTCAGAGAACAAAAGCATTTGTTGTAGTTTTGTTATTGTTATTACAATGTATAATCATTGAAAAGATTAGCTGGAGCTGTCATATATATTTTTGTCCCTGCTCCCCCCCCTTTTTTTTCTACCCGCCACCATCTAGGGGTGGGTTTGGTCTCTGGCTTCACATGATAACCGTGTATGTTCAGGCTCCTGGGACAGCACAGTGAAGTTATGGGATATAGCTGCTGACGGAAAACAATTTGGAGAAATCAGGTACTGTTGCTGTTTATCCCCTTATGCTATATTTATTTGGAAGTGTAAATGGGAAAAGGAAAACTAGATTCAAAGAAACAGTATTAATAATGACCAGAGAAATAAGATATTGGCTTCAGTCCTTAATCGGGGCCCCAGAGAGATTTAACATCTTACTTCCTAAAATCAAATCATGATAAAAGGCCTAAAATAGTACAAGAATCCAGTCCTGAGTTATATTAAATGTCACAATAATTTCATCTAATTTTTTTTCTTGTCGTATTTTCCAAGGATTTATTTAAAAAGACTAGATTAATGTACAATCAATATTGTATCACCATAAAAAGGAAAAACCAAAAAAGATTAGACAAAGGGTTGTGAAGGAGCATTGGAGGGTGAATAAGGACAGGAACTGATGCAGACCTACATAGAGCCAAAATATCAACTAAAATGTTATTTATTTGAGTTTGTTTACTATAATGTAAATATTGTACATCTTTCATCTTGATCTTCTATACCTTATTTCTCTGATATGCATATATAGCAGTTTGCAGGTGCTTCTAGGAAATTTAGATATATTTTTTTCTCCCTGTCTTTCGGTCCATCCCCTTGTATTTGGCCGTGAGATATTTCAGGAAAAAAAATCTTTAACTTGGATAGGTATAAGCCGACAAAGAAAATTCCAACTCACTTACATAATAGCTCACCCTGTCACAGGGAAGGAGGTTATTCTACATAAATGTATTATGGCTGTAAGAACAGTGCAACCTTTTCTAGGCTTATATTTCTAGAATTTCCACACTGACTTGCTGGTTTTAGATCCAGAGAGCTGGAGGTTGCAAATTTAATGAAAACGAACTCTGTGGACCATTGGAATACACTTCCAGATTTATCAGACCTTAGCACAGGGGTGGGCAAACTACGGCCCGTGGGCCACATCCGGCCCGTTGGTCTTTTTTATGCGGCCCGCCGAAGATTGGTCCGTATGTAACCGCGGCCACTTTATCTATCTATCTATCTATGTTGTGCAAATTTAACTATGACGCCAAACTTGAGTTTTGGAGGGTGTCTCGGAGAAAAAAATAGTTATTTTTCCTACCCTGAGTACGGCAGGCGTCTCTTCCACTTAAAAAACAAAACTCTTTCCTCCCCTCACTTTGAAAAGGGGAACTGTTAACAAATGCAGTTTTTTATATGTATCGTATCTTGTGCTGACCCGGCCCGTCCGTCAAATTTTAAAAGTCAATGCGGCCCCCGAGCCAAAAAGTTTGCCCACCCCTGCCTTAGCATATTGGATGTTTCATATAATAAACTAATTTCTGTGAAGGCTTCATCATCTGCATTTAATTTATGCTATTTGAGTGGAGTCATTATGCAAATGCCAAAAATAACCAAGATATTCTTATCTGTTAAAAGTTCATATTTAATGATATTCATATATATATATATTTATATCACTATATGAATTACTTTGTTCAATTAATTCATTGAAATTAAAATTCTTTATAATTCAGCATGTAAATAAGCCCTCTATTGGCTCTTCTAATCTGCAGTCAAAGATCAGCCGTAGATGACGCTAAATAGGCAGCCACTGCAAGCAGCAAAATGGGAACTAGCTACTGTAATTTATGTTATAAATAGTGTCAGTCTAGAAATAATGGGAAACCCAAGGCTGAACAAGGATTTACTGACCATAAAATATGCTTCTTGACACATCGCCTGATCATTTCCTTTTGGATTCTAGTGAGAAAGCAGCTGTATTGTGCCTTTCTTATTTGCCTGACATTCTGGTCACAGGAACATATGACAAGAAAGTGTCAGTCTATGATCCACGAGGTTAGTATTAGTTGTTTCTTTACATTCTGAAGACTTAAAATGCCTGCTTGCAAACGATCATTGTCACCACAGTTAAGGCATGGAGGTTGCATGATTGCATTTCAGGTGCTTGGTAACTGGCTGGCATTTATGATTGGTTGCAGCGTCCCCCAGTCATGTGATTAAGTTTGGGGGGGGGGGTTTGCCATTTTTCAGCAAAAAATGCCCATAGGATAAGCTGGAATGAAACTTATAACCATGTGTTTCACTTAATGACTATGTGGTTTGCTTGATAATTGCAGTGACTTGCTTAACAAAACAATGCAAAAACAATCATAAAATTGAGTCTGATCACATAGTGACTCGACATACAACCTCAATAACATAATCAAACTTCTGAACTTGATTATAGTTGTAAGTCATAGATTACTATATGCCAGGATCTTCTTATCTCAGTGGACCAAGAACAGTCAGAAAAGAAAGGATTATTCCATCTATCTAGACATTTAGATGTCTTCTGTGCCAGATATAGGCAAATTGTGGATGCTCCCAAATAATTACTACCATGTGGAAGTCTTGCCCATTCACAAAATGTCTGTGAACCAATCACAAAACACTCAGTTATCAGTAAGCAAACTATTGAGTTTATTCCCATCGTTCTCACTAGCCACCAAAGATGCTTTCTACTTCTTTAGCTTACCCTTATCTTTTTTTTTTTTTTAGAAAAGAAGGTCCATTTCTGGACGTGGTTGCAGTCATCTACCATTTTTATTTTCCCTATGGCCAATGCAAAGCCTAGAAGTACAATGTTTTTGAAAATAATTGGTTTTGCAGCACTTTCCCATTTATTTATGTTTAAATCAATATAATTTTTATTTTAAAAAATTTAAATTAGGTTGGGGCGGTAGGAAATTAACTGGCATCAAAAGGCATATTGGTAGCTCAGAGTACGTTGTCTCCCTACAGCTACAATTAATTTCTGAAGACTGCCATCTCAAGCAGAAAGTTTGGTGCAAGAAAATTATAATTCCCCACTCTGGTTGTTTGGGTATAAACTGTTATGATGGGTCATACATACTAGTTTTCTATATGTAATAGGAACCCACCCACCCCTAAATTCATTAGGAGTGGTGAGACAGGGAGGAGCTGGCAAGAGTATTCCTAAAGGAAGCTCTGCTTTCTCTCCTGCTTGCAGTTATCTTGATAATTAAATGGCAAGCCTCAATGTAGAGAAAGAATTTGTATGTGATTATAGTTGAGCAAGCCACCAATTTTATAAGATTTATCTTGTGCAGGTGACTGGGCTCTTGTGATGCATCTCTTGGCCCTCTCTCACAGCTGCTTGTGCCCCAGTGATGAGCCGCAGGCTTCACTCCAATGCAGTCCTATCCCTTGCAGCTGACGAACACTTCATTATCTCTGGCAGTGAGGATCGAACGCTGGTCTGTTTTGACAGGAGGACCAATAGTGTGCTTCAAAGGCTTCAGGTGAGCTATTCAGCTTCAATCTCTTTTTCATGATAAAACTAGCCAACAGTTATATAGAAAAAAATCACCCAAGAAAAATCGAATCCTTAACTATTCCATACAGATGTTCCTATTTTCTCTTAGACTGTAAATTGAACAGATCTGATAGAAGTCAGTTACGTATTAGAGTACAGGAATACAGGAAGAATACAGGAAGTTAGATAATAAGGTAGTGTAAAGGAACTAGATTATATTAGTAAAATAATAGATAATGCAAAGCTAATAATACAAGGAAGTAGAAGATGAGATTAAGTAGGAGATGGAATGGATTTCCAGTAAGCATCATGGTAAAGTTAGACATCCTTGCTGAAGAGGAATAGTGTTTACGGTGAAAAGATCATGTGATTGCCATTCACGCTCTGAACTGTCAGTCCACATACGGAGACTACAAGAACTGAGGTTTTATGATTGGCTTATGAGTCAAATGGCTAGGAGTTTAGTGATATCTAAGCTCAACAGTTGTAACATAGCCTGTTGTGTACAAAACACTCTACCGAGTTTTATTTCTTAATCATCTTTGGGATTATTTTTACTGCTTGGAAATATTAACAGCAGGTTTTTATGGTATTCACTGAGTGAGTCTTATTCTCCTTGAGGAAAAAAAATTAAATGTGATTTTAAGGACTTGGGAAAAATACTGGGTTTTCTGAATAAGGAACAAAAGAGTGTTGATTTTAGAATATTAAAAAAAACAGGGATATTTGGAATAAAAATTCAAAACTAATTATAAAAATCCTTTTTGCTTGGGTTCATTGGGGGAAAATGATATAATGAGACTTTGAAGATTGGATACTAGAGGGAACTAAAAGAAAATAAGTATTACAGCTAAAGGAGAAGTATATTTAAATTTGACCTGTTAAGAAAAAATGGAACAAAATAATTTAACTGTATATTTTGAAGGACATTTTGAACAATAGACACAAATTGTGTCTTAATTTTAAAAATGTTTGATACCATAGAAAGATTATATTTATGTCACAGAAGAAGAACAAACTATACCGGATAAGACTGAAACTGATTTGATTGAGGATTTAAATATGAGAAATTACAAAAATAACATGGAACAAGAAAATAAAGTGGACATAAAAATGAAACTGATTGTCTTAATATTTAAAGGGGACATACAAATATTGAATCAGAAGAGTGATTTGGATAATATTTTTTTACTATATGTACAAAAGAGATATTTTAAAGACTTGAAGGACTTTCTGAGATGGGATTAAAAAAATGAAAAAATAAATCAAATTCTAGGACATTATTTGAAGGGAACCAAAAACTGAAAAGTATGGGGAAGGAATCTATAGCTGGTTTATTTGATCAAGTTTAAAGTAAGTATTTATTGCTGGTAACACTTAATGGATTTTTGCTGATAAGAATTAAATTATTAGGATGATGAAATATAGGAGCTAAATAATAAGAAATTGGATAGGATTAAATGCATCACATATTTTTAATAACAATAAGGAAGAATAATGGAATTTAATATTTACCAGAGATAAAATGTATACAAGACCTTACTTTTGTATATAAGTTTTATAATAAACATCGTGACCATAGGAATTGTGATATTTCATACTTACGTCTGGTGTCATGTAGAACTGTGCCTATGGCAATGATATTTATCTTTTCCCACAGCTGGACACATACCTATTTTCCATGTCATACCAGGGTTCTCAACTATGGGCTGGAGACAATCATGGAATGCTGTATGTCTTTGAGAACAATGGAGGGCATTTCCAGCACATTCGGGTATGGTACTGATGATAGATCATGGAGGGACAGAGAAATATGGTTCTTTTCTAATTTCCACACATAAAACAATTCTCTTTCATTTGATGTCTCACTGCTTTTTCTTTTGTCAGTATTTTGATGTAGGTCATCGCTCTCAGATCACTGGAGTCCAACACTCATTGGGTGCACTGTATACAACTTCCACTGACAAGACACTCCGTGTAAGAATTGTGGTGGTATCTAAGTACTTTATTAGGAATAAACAGTTAATTCACCAATAGCAAAATCACTTAGACTTATATACCACTTTATAATACTTTACAGAAGTCTCAGAGTGGTTTACAATGTCAGCATATTGCCCCCAACAATCTGGGTTCTCATTTTATGAACCTCAGAAGGATAGAAGGCTGAGTCAACCTAGAGCTGGTCAAGGACTGAATTCCTGGCAGTGAAATGCAGAATTAGCCCGCAATACTGCTTCACCATGGCTCATAGATTTCCAATCTATGTCTGTTTCACATGGGTTTATCAAAAGTAAATTCTATTTGTGCATTGGTTTATTTTTTAACCTGTACAAGAAGTTGCATGAATTATATTTAAAAATGTCTATTTTCTTACAAAATATGCATTTCTAAACAATTAGTCCTTAACATGCTTTATATATTTGGTGGGTTTTCTCTTTGGACTGAAAAATCAAATCAAATCTAAAGAATAACTGAATTATTTGTTGCCTGGAAAAGTAGTTCTGGTAGTGTTGTGACTGAGGAGCAAAACAAAACAGAATAAAAAAATAATCACATCACTGTAGATTCGATCAGTGGAAGCAAAATTAATTCTGTCCACTATTTTTTAAATATTTGACTGAAAAATAAAGCAGCAATGAGACCCTAGTTGCCATAAAGTTTTAGCTATAAACCAAAACATTTGATTATTTCAACAACTTTAGGGTAGCTTCAGAAAAAGATGATGAAATATGGTGAAGGCGATCTCATAGTATTTTCACAGGTTGTTTTCATATCACTGTGTACCGATTAAGCTCCTTCACTGCATACTGCCTGGCTTTATCAGATTCATAGACCATTATTTTGGAGAGTTGCTTATACCAAATAATTGCATTGGCACAAATGTTTTGGGACTTACAGCAAAGTAAAATAAGGTTTTTTAAAAAAATGTTGTTATATTCTCGTATCATTTTTAGACTTAAACCTCTTGGATTTTTCTTTCAGATCCATGTTCCTACAGATCCACCAAAGGTCATCTGCTCACAGACCCACAGCTATGTGCTAAATGGGGTAAGGACAAGAGGCTGGAGATGCTGAAAGATATTCTGGGAAAGGCCTGCTGCAGCTATGAAAGGGAGGGATCCATTCACTATTGTCATCGTTTGGGGTCAAATTGAATTTTATTGCAGTTAGCTCTGCTTATCATCAGGGTTTTGTTTTGTTTTGTTTTTTTGCAGATCTGTGCTAAAGGAAATATGGCAGTAGCTGCCTCAGGTGGTTTATCCTTGGAGGTTTGGAAATTCAGTATTTGATGATAAGCCACATAGTGATCCATGCTCTCACGTTCAGGATCATCAAGTACAGTGGATTACTTCCTTGTAGGTTCCAGATTTCTGGTGTCTGATGAATTGTTGTTGTTGTTGTTGTTTAATACGTTCTTTGGGACTGAATAATCAAATGTTGAAACCTCAGCCTTGCTTGTCCCAGTAGGGGTAACACAGAGGCTTGAATGGAGGCTATCTGATTCACTTGAACCTTAACCTCGTCCTTTCTTGCTGGCCATCTCTCTCATTTCACTTTGTGTGGTTGAAACACATATTTGTGTGTACTCTTTCCATCATCTGGCCCCTTCGAAGTCTGTCCCATTCAACATATAGGAGCAGTATCTTCTCTATGGCTTGATGGCCAAGAACTTATTGGCTTACAAGGTAAATAAGCACAGGTCTAAGCATGAAAGGGTGAATTATGGGTAGAGGGGAGGGTGATGATTAGAGAGACTACCCAGATAGCCGGGCCTGGTGAATGTTTACATTAAATTAAAATATTCTGCCATAACGGCAGATCAAGATTTATGTTGCCTTTTTTCTCCCTTGTGGTAAGCAAAGCATGTCTTAAAGCATGATTTTTTTAAGGGATTTGGTTTAGAATTAAGATGAACCCACTAAAAATAAGATTATATAGCAAACTTTGACTGTACAACAATTTTCTCAATTTTGTCATTAAATTATAACAAAAACAAGTTTTGAACAAGATGAACTGTTTCCTCAATGACATATAGTTCGTATCTTGTGTTCAGCCATAGAGTTTGGTTGGTTTTGTTTTAATATTATATATGAACCATATCACATGGTTTGTCTAGCATTATTGAATTAGCCTTGAGGCTTGTTCAGTATATCATGATGAAAGTAAACCATGTGTTAGCATAATGTGAAAATCCAGAATATAGACTGGAATACAATACAAAATGTCAGTTGTTGTATTATCATTTATGTTTTATTTATTTATTTGTCAGTCCTTTATCATTTTATAAGGAATAATCTAAAGACTGGTTAAATTTGAATGTATGTACATAAACTTGCTTTTGAATTATCCAACAAAAGCAAACTGAAAAGCTAAAACCCTTCCATCTTATTTTTGTTTATCTCTGAGAATTAGAAATGTTACTATGAGCAGAAATAATTGGAGTAACAAAAATAAAAACAAAACAATAATATATAATTCCATAATGAAGCATTTTGGCTTCTTATCAGGATCTTAAGACACATCAGTATTTACTTTTTTCATCAAAATCCAAAACTTAATGTCCAGTTCGTTAATTTTTTGAAGCAGTAGTGGATACCATGTTAGAATGTATAGTCAGAAAACAATTCAAAAGGCTTATTCCTTCAGTAATATGTATAAGATAAGATATGATATGATCTGTATTATTTATAAGGCCAAAGCTGGAGTTATTATTGAGTAAACAGACTGAAAAGCACACTATCTGAATCTCACCTTCCATAAGAACTACCTAGAATTGATGTGTAATAATAGGTACCCTCCCTCCCCTCATATGCATAATAACAGTTTGGAGTCAGGCAGCACAAAAATTGAAGCAAATAATAAAAATAAGATAAAGACCAGACTTTGCTCTAGAAAGCAACCCTGTTAAGCCATTCTTGTCTAATTTTTTTCCTAGGCAGCCTCTTTCCTCAAGGTCATCTGCACATTCCATTACAAAATCCATCACTGCCTTGAATGAGGGATCTTAAAAACCTCACAGTCATCTTTCATTCTGAGCTTTTATCATATAACTCAAAAGTTTGATTGTCTAAAACAGTTAGGACTAGAAGCTTATACTACATCTCAAGAACCTTTGGGTAAAATCTTCAATGAATTATTAGGTCTAGTGTGGTGTATTAGATGAAGCCAACTTTGTATAATTATTCCAATGAATATCTTATTCTTATTACAAATAGGATATATATGAGAGAAGAAACACAGTCTTGGTAAGCCACAGAATATATTATCCAGAATTTGAGAGAAAAATAAAGCAAGTAATGATTCCTAGTGAGCATACCCCTCTTTCTCTTGCTGTCCTTCTTTCTCATTAATAGATTTGTCAGGAAGAAGAAAAAATGAATGTTTGGTATCCTTGTTTATCCTTGTTTCTTTGGTGCCATAATCTTGTTTTTCCTGGTCATTGTTCTGCCTTTTTCCATAATTTTATCATTTTTTTAAAAAAAAAGAACAATAAGAGCTTAAAGGAAAGGAAAGGAAGAAATAAAAGTGCAAAACTAAAAACTAAAAAGATTCCCTTTTAGAAAAAAACTTTCCACTATCATGATAAATATAAAGTTTTATAATCTCTTCACCTTCTCTTAATTAACAAGTATCAAACTCTTCATCCCATAACACTCCAAGCAAATCAAATAAGTAACATCTCTTTATTCAATTATCAGAAAAAAGTTCAGAGCTCTAAAATATTAACATATATATAAAAGTTAATTTTCCATATCTCATCTCCTAGCTGTAAGCAAAATCCAATTTAAAAGGCATAAAAAGATCTCAATATCTAGTGTCAATAAACAAAGCCTAAAGTTTAATATAAAAAGAGGCCATTTATTTTTTAAGACGAATTCCAATATTTCTCCCATTCCAAATACCAACAATTCCAGAGAACCAGCCCAAAATAGCACTATATCCATTCAAATAAACATTCCATATCTCAATTCTAAACTATTAACAAAATAAAGTATTCCCAGCATCCTAATATAAACAAATAACTAGAATTTAACATAACAAAAATATATTTTCCTTTAAAAAATAAATCCACATATTAGATACAAAGCGTTTCAATGTTAAAAATTTAGGATACATAAAATGGCTATAAAGTTAATGGTTTAAACACTGTATAAGCTAATCAATATATGACATTTTTCCAGTCATCAGTACATACAAACAGAAACACCCAAAATGACAGCATGTCCCATTTTAACCCATTTTGACCCTTACTACAAAGTTCTTCAATATTTTTAAGCAGTCTCTTGTAAATCCAGCCCCCCCCCCCCAAAAAAAATATATTATTTCAATTGCTCCCTAGGATTGCCATTTTTCCCCTTCATAATTTTTAAAGCTTCCCACAATTTTTCTCTTTACATCTAATGGGAAATTTTTATTTAGTGTTTCACTCATATTGTTCTCAAGTGGAGCTTGTTGCATATCTAGATATATTTGTTGAAAAATCAGGGTGGGTAACTTTGGCCAGTCACTATCTCTCAGGCTGACTCAGATGGTTATTTGGAGGAAAAGACATAGAAGGAGTATTAGGCATATTCGCCATCGAGTTAAAATAATAAAAGTGAGGTTTTAAAAATTTAAAATAAATATCTAGTTCTGTAACATCTTTCCGAGATAGCCTGTTCCCCAAAAGATACAACATAGCTGACATAATTGTTTCAAAGTCTCAGTGCAATTCATTTATACTATAAATTCACTTTCCAAAAGCAACACCAACCATAAGAACCTCTGTTCTCGCCCTGACCTAACCATATAGCAACGTGCCCGCTCCTGTGTACTCCGCACAGAACTCAAAAAACTTCTAGACAATGGAGAGAAGGACCTGTACATTGACTACCGTGCTGACTGTATCAAAAGTAAGTCACACAACCTGCAACTCAGCTTTAACCTTCAACCGCAACCCTACCTCAACCAATCCACCATCATCCAAGACTAGGCACACACGCCCCTAACTACCTCAATTCCAACTACTGCTAGCCTTAAATGCAAGCTACTCAATGCAAGAAGCCTTGTGAATAAAATACTTGAATTTCTCCTTTTACTAAATATGGCTAAATTCGACATCATATTTGTCTGTGAAACATGGCTCAACACATCTCTCCCTGACTCCATTACCACAGTAAGAGACTGTCATGTCTACCGATCAGATCGTGAAATTCGTAGAGGAGGTGGTGTTGCTATCTTCTATAAAAAGTCTTTACATCTAAAAAATATCCAAGTTACCCAGGAGCTTGCTCTTCCTGAAACCATCATCTGTGAACTATCCTTAAATATCACATTTCGATTCTAACTATGTTACAGAGCACCTGATTATGACATTGAACATGTAAACAAGCTAAATTCACTACTAATATGGGCAACATCCTGCCCACACGCTTTTATCTTTCTTGGTGACTTCAATCTACCTCATATTAACTGGACCATAAACGAATGTACAACTGAACCCATACATGCAACCTTCTACAATGCTATTACAAATCTGGGATTGGAACAACTAGTAACCAACAATACTAGACTTAACAACTGCCTCGATCTCATCTTCTGCAATAGTTTGAATTTAATTTATGGTCATGTTGCCAACTTCAAAAGCCAATACAAAAATTTATGCCACCAGATAAAGACTGAATGCACCAATTATCACATTAAGCAAGAGGAAAACCTACACACCAATTTCACCTGCACTTTTTACAATTTTGTAAACAACAAACTAAAAGACTCAAGGTCCATCCCACCCCTGATAGGACCTAATGGTAAAGACTGCAACAACAACACCATTAAAGCCAAGATCTTTAACACATTCTTTGGCTCAGTATTTGTAAACAGCAATGGATCATGCCCAGTATTTCCTAGCCGAACCACAGAAAAATACAATGATCTAATACATATCGATTTTACAGACGACAATGTTGAAAAAGCACTATGCAATCTAAAACCATCTCTATCTATTGGACCGGCCAGAATATGTGCCTACTTCTTAAAAAAACTATCCACTGCCATAGCAGAACCTCTAAGCATAATCTTTGAAAAATCTTTCAGGACCAGCTCCTTGCCTAATCTATGGTCACAAGCCACGGTCATCCCCATCTTCAAAAAGGGAGACCCCAGCCTAGTTGAAAATTACAGACCAATCTCCTTATGCTGCGTCACCTGTAAAGTCATGGAATCAATTATTAACCAATCCATTATCCTCCACTTGGAGACAAACAACCTACTCTCTAATAAACAATTTGGTTTCAGAAAAAAACTATCCTGTAATCTGCAACTCTTACACTGCAAAAACATATGGACTACACAACTTGATCAGGGCAAAACAATAGACGCAATCTACATAGACTTCTGTAAAGCCTTTGATTCAGTGGTACACAACAAACTACTCCTAAAACTAAAATCTTATGGTATCTCTGGACAACTGCATAACTGGATAGAAGCATTCCTGTCAAACAGACAACAAATGGTCAAAATTGGGAGTGTCCTATCAAATTCTGTACCTGTCAATAGTGGTGTCCCCCAAGGCAGCGTTCTAGGACCAACTCCCTTCATACTCTACATAAATGACCTCTCTGATCATATTAAGAGCAACTGCGTTCTCTTCACTGATGATGTAAAGCTGTTCAATACCACAGACAATACTGCTACCCTTCAAAAAGATCTTGACTATGTATCAGAATGGTCAAACA